ATGTTGAGCGAAAGAAATTGTAATTTTTATATTTATAATTATATTATTTTATTGTCAACAAAGTAACTTATTAAATTATTTTATTTTATTTTTAGATTATAAGTACTACAGATAATACCCAACCACCAGCTTTACCTTTTTCACGATTTAACGGTACTTAAAGTAATTCTACTAAAATGGTCCACATCTATAATTTCGAACTCTAGTCCTAATGCAACACCAATATTTTTTGCTATTACATCTCAAATGGTTTCTTTTGTACAAAATTCCAATGTAGGTAACTCTTCAAGTTTACTATTATCTTCACCAAAACAAGCAATTCCATCTCTTGATGAATTTTTTACTAATCAGATAGTACTAGAGAATTTGTGCAACTTTAAAGCATATTTGATGACGAACAGATTACTGTGGATAAAATTTCATTGTCTTATAGCGAAATCGATCAATTGGGGATAAAAAAAAAATTGGGTGCGCAAAGCATTTAGAACTCTACTATTATTTAGTGTTTATAGCAATATTATGTACTAGCAACGTATTAGTATTATATATGCAAATAATCTGTAAATCTATATGTGAATGATTTTTGTGAAATAATTAGAAATTTTATTAGATCGCGTAAATTATACAATTTTTAAAGTAAACAATTTTATTTTTTAAATTTCTCTATCTAAATCTAGCATGATTATATTACATATAAATTGAATCCTTGAAAAAATTCGCAGCCACTTGTGAAATAATTTGAGAACATGCTACTAAAAGAGGATGTTTGGGATCATTACATGAATGATCGAAATTTCTTTATAAAAACGATTTTTAATAACAGGAAAACAAGTTTCAATAGGATTAAAATCAGGGAAATGGGGATTCTATAAGATCCTGATCATGATGATCAAGCACAAGAACACTTTGTTCTGCAGGATATGAATTCATTTGAGGTACCTAGCATAAAAAAGAGTAAACAGTAAAGATACACAATCGAAAATTTCATATTTGAAATAATATATTCCTTAAATTTTTTTGTGCAACTGCCATTCACAACACCAATAAAGTACGTTTATCTTTAGCTTAATCCAAAAATATAAGCTGTTCAAGCCCAATTTTTGCAATAAACGTGCTTCTAAGAAGCTCGTTTCGTTCTTAAACTGCTCAATGTAACTGTATAATTGTAAATATATTAGAAAACAAAAATTTAATAATAGAAATACAGAATATAATTTGTAACTTACTTTTTTATACTAATCCCACAATATACTAAAGACCCCCCAAAGAATTAGGATTGATATAAAGTTTCCGTCTGTAACTCAAGTTCTCCTACTAGTTCGTCTAAATAAGTCTACTTTGACTAAATCTCGTAAGATCTAAATTGATTACAAAATTAGTAACAAATAAAATATAGTTATCCTCTTATTTATAATAAATACCTTTATATCATCACAGGTTAGTATTTTATTACGACCCGGTGGTTCATAAAATAATTTGTACATTGACATAAAGCTAAGACAAAAGCAAAATCCAAAAATGAAAGCTAAATGTACTAATAGCTATTCAACTTTAGATCTTTACACTGCTTTGTCCAAATAAGCGAAGACCTAAAGTGGAGGATTATTTACCTTTATTTTGATAGTTATAGTCGAAAAAAGTATCTAAATTGTTATATATTAGCGGAAGCAGAGTTAAAATATATTTACAAGGGGGAGCTGGAATTCAAATCTTATTTGCTAATTTCAAGGGTTTTTATTATCAAATGATCGACACTGCATATACCAATAATTATCACTTGATAAATTATGATTGGCAATGATATTTTTAATTTTAAAATTCTTATGTTGCGTATCATATTTTTTTAAACAAAGGCGATTGATCTGCCTAGTTATTGTTTTTTTTTTGATTTAAAAAAGGGGGGGGGTCTCTTTAGTTTTTAAGAACAGATTCGTTGTTAAAATGAACAATATTTAAATAATCTTTCGTATATAGTATCTCAATATCTTTAAGAAAATTATTTATTTTTTCGTAAAAACAAAAGATTTAATGTCTAAAAACTCGCAATGTAAATTATCAAATTTATGGCAAGATTAAGGTTGTCAAAATTTTGATCATTAATAATATATTCTTATTAGCTTCACCTCCCGTTGCGGGAGAATTGGTTGATGCTGAACAAAGTGGGTCTAAAAAAACGATAACAAAATTATTGAAGAACCACCATTTCTAACTCCTAAACAAGTTAAGAAGTTCTTAAGTTTTCTGACTAAAGAAGAAATGGCCGTCTATGAAACTCTAACCGACGAACAAAAAACGTTTTATTTAAATGTATTAAAAAGGCGCAAGCTGAGAGTAAAGAAGAATATAGAAAAACAGGAAAAGTATGATATTAAAATATATATATTATATCTTTTTACCATTATGAGGGTTTACTAATATTTTATTGCTTAATAGAATATGTTCATTCGTTTTTTCCGTGGATTCTATAATCTATAGAAAAGATTAGGGACGCGAGAGTCATGTTATTGATAGGCTAATAGTAATTGTGTAAAACGATAAAAACAATGAAATCAAATATATTTTATTTTTATTTTAAATTAAATTAAATTATAGCTCGATTATCGTGTTACTAGTTACATTCTTTCAATTAAAAAATAAAGCTGGTTTTTTGCTTAAAAGCGCGTTAAAGTTGTCTCTTAACAAAACGGATAAACTTTTAAATTGTTTAATTATCCTAATTATCCTAAAGAAATGAGCGAAAATATACTTAATATACTTATTCAGTAACGACGAAGAAGAAAAGTTTACGAAAGACCGTCGGTATATTCAGATAAATTTGAAAGATAAAGTTTATTTTTCCGTTGGTTTCCGGGAGATGCAACGACGTCTCAGATCAAATTAATACATAAATAAATTTATTAAGAAAGGCTTCTTCGGTAAAGTGTTGAATTTAAATAGAAAATGGGTACTCTTTGCGTATTTTAATAGTCAATAAGACCGGAGGATGCTTGGATAATCACAAAAAGATAGATAAATTGGAAAAAAGAAGTCAAATATCTGATCGACTTTCGATAACGGACGAGCAATTAAAGAATTGAGGAATTTCCAGAGAAGAGTGGAATTCAACAAACGAGCATAATAAATTAGAAGAACGAGTTAAAGAATTTAGTTTACTAGACAAAGAATTCACGGAACGACTTCCTTCAAGAGTAGAAGATCAAAATACAAGTAATAAAAGTGTAAGTGATGCAAAAGATAGAGATGACCAAGAAAAATTTCTCAAAGACGATTGTTAGCTAATTTAGGTTAGATAGAAAAATTTAGTATCGGTTTATTTTTAGAATAAGGCATTATTGTATACATTAAATGTTTTGATTTTATTTTTTTATCTATCCTGGGTATCATTTTCTTTCAAACCCGGATTTACAACCCGGTTTCATTTTTTTTTCAAGCATATGTTAATATCACCTATACTCAGATGGGAGAAGACTAGGACCTCATCGGCGTATGACACCATTTATTACACGCAAAATTATGTCAGAAAAGGTTAGAACATTAGGAGATCGTGTAAAAGCGAATTCATATAGGCTTTATCGCAAAATACTGATCAGCTGATTGGAAAATATGTAGCAAAATTAATATACAGAAAGAAGGGATAGAAATCTATGGTGATTTTGTACCATTTTGCAAGAATCCGAGTAGCTCTGAAACAGAATCATCCAGTTCATCCGAATCTACCCGGCTCCATAAGCTTGAAAAGAAGGTTAGGGGGTTGGAAATTGTTACAGTAAAACATGATGTAGACGTACTAGACTCCGGAGTAGTGATCATCAGTCCGGAGCGCTAGTCCGACGCTCGATACATGTTCGGCCATTTAAATGATTTATGAAATCATTTTTCATTATTTGTCAATTGGTCATTCTCAAAGATCAATTAATTTCGTGTGTAATATAAAATTTAAATGTATAAAATTACTAACAATTATTTAATTATAAATATTACAACTTTATGACCAAGGTCATTTGTCATTTGAGTATGCGATGTACAATGACGTAATGTACTATATATATATATCGTAAGGCAGTTCTGTGTGACGAAAAATACTATATAAGCCGAAAATGACTATCACTTTAATCTGTCTTGTTATGGGTAATACAGCCGCGAGAGCTTTCTGTGTTAAAATAAGTAGAGACGAACCTATTAGCGAGCTCAAGTACGCTATAAAGGCTAAAAAACAAAATGGATTTGCTAGTGTAGACGTAGACAAGCTAAAACTGTGGAAAGTACAAATCCCTGACGAACGTAGCGAGCTCTTGAGAAATCTCACACTCAATGACGGTGACGAACTACTTAGATTTCGGAGTACTTCCCTGACTTGTCTGCTGAAGAGTGTATTCATGTCATCGTAAAATCGCCAAAATCGCCACGTAAGTGTGGTACAATATGAAATTTTTCGTCATTTACCCTCGTAATATTAACACGTATTCGTTTCTAGTTCTCAGCTTGGAAGAAGTTTTATCGTGTATTCCGCCACCTGCCAGATATCCTTATGACACTAGAACCTCAATTAGCTCAAACAGAGTGGCTGGCGCTTGGCCTTCAAGAATAACACGTTGGGAGGAATTTTTAACAGAAGTAAATCAGTACAATTTCGTTGAACATGAGGAATTTGAGAGGCCACAATTTTTAAAGGTGTAGAAGTGGTCGTTGATTCTAATGTCAAGACTGCTATGGAGGTCAATATATTTGGTGTATTGAACGCAGCTATGAAAAAATACAAGTTTGCGAAGCATTCGAACTTCCCAAATGACACTAATATTGGTCCCTTTAAACCAGACTTCACTTCCCGTCTTAAGATTGACAATACTTTAATGAAGCTAATCTTGGCAATCGAAATCAAGAGAAAATCGTTGTAGAGAGTTTTGAGAGTTTCAGTAAAGAAGACCTGGAAAGTCAGAGTTTTAGTGGACCTTTACATGATGTAATTGAGCAAGTGTACAATTACATGTCGGCATTACAACTTCAATACGGGATACTTTCAACCTATGATTATCACTGGTTCTTTTACCGACCAAAAAATAATAATACAGCGCTACACATTTCACATCCTCTTAAGCGTGATTCAACCGATCCACCGGTGCTTAAGGCATACGCATATCTAGCTCAGTTAGCAGAGAGAGATCCCACATCCCCCATCATAATTTAATTAATCATAATGGGAGTCAAAATTTACCATTCAAAGCTTCGAGAATATCCAGATCCCCCGAAGTATGGGCAGTGGCTCAAATGTGTCATCCATATTTTCTGGCAATCAGGAAACAAGGCAACAAGATAATGATGAAATTATGGAACAGGATTTTGACTTTTCGGCAAACCGGAGGGACGTACCGATGTGAATTCTATGGACAAACTTGGTGTGTTGTGGATATTATGGGGCGGGATGGGCTATGTTATGGGTACAACGATAGTTGGCACTATGTTGAGTTTCCATAAGATAAAGCAACAGCAAAAAAGTAAGGCTCTCGAGGCATTAAAAATAATTCATAGTCATAACATTCTTCACAATGATATCCGAGAAGAAAATATCTTAGTTAACGAAAAAGGTGATATATATATTATTGACTTTGGGATGTCAGTTGTAACTGATAAAAAGAAGCTGTTTCGTCAAGAAGAATTTGAATTATCCCGTTTATTAAATCGTTATATGTAGTTAATATTTGCTATGTAAAATTCACAAATCATTAGCTAGTTTTTTGTTAACATCCTATATTACACGATCGATTATATACAATATATAATTAATAAGTAACTATTTGCTATATTAAATTAAGCAAAAGCAAATAAACGTAATTTTTAAATGTCATTTAATAATGTGCAGTTAAATTTATAACGAGTTCTGGATTCGAGCGACGCACTAAGCGAATAAGCGAATAAATGGTTATAGTAACTGACCACCAATAAACATCTTATACAGTATACCGTAAAAATTCTAAATTCCTAGATTACTGTACTAAGTGAAAAAAATAGAGGATTACTGAAAAGATACTTTGTAGAGGAGAGTGCGATAAAAATAGTCACGTGATTTACGGGACTGCTGGTCATTCGGCAATAAGTTTTCGGATTCTGGATTCGATAAATCGTGATGGGTTACAAATTGGATTATGAAAAATGGGGTCACCATCTCCAATGAAATAACAAAATGGGTAAGGTCCGCTATGCGCATCTGAATTATGTCAGTTGCCAGCCAGCATTGGTAAATATCAAACTACTTTGGCTCATTCTACACTTTTCATGGGTATTACCGTATTATTATTTTCTATACACTCGTGTAAAATGCAGAATATATTGTATTATATAGTATAATTTCTTTATAAGAAAAATTCAAAGTTTCTTAGAATAAGTTGTTAAATAGATTGTAATACGTTCCTAACCTAACCTTAAACTTCACCATAAACTCATCAAACAACGGTAAAATACATAGAAAATTTCTCAGAATAAGTTGTTAAATCGACTGTAGAAGAATTTAATGCGTTCTTAACCTAACCCTAAACTCCACCATCAAAACATAACTCCGTACCAGACAATAGAAGGATACATTTTATACAAATGCGTAAAATAAAAAGTTCTATATATTGTTATAAATTATAATTTTTAAATTAATTATGAAATTTTATCAATTTTTTAATTCTCCAAGTTAATCTACAAGCTGATAATTGTTCTACATTTATATCATTAAAAAAATATACAAGTAAATTTTAAAAGCAATAAAATTGAAAAGAATTGCAAGGTAAAGATCCTCAAAAAATCAAGATTTGAAGCAAATCTAAATCCTAATTTATTTATCCTTGAATTGATATCAAAAATAATAATTTTAAAAATCCATCAAGGTAATAATATCTATAGAAGGAGATATCTATAAATAAAAGTTCTAAATAATATTAATTTTCTAATTAACAAATTTATATTATATAGATTTATAGACTTACTTTATAACGCGAAGATAAATCAAGATTAAAATTACAACGATAATTTGGAACAAATTTCATTTGTATCCTTATTTCATCATTTAAAAATCCATGATATGGTTCCCTATAATGATTTGATTTTAATTTTTTATTTATATGATAATTGAATAATTTTTTTTCTCTAATAAGAATATCATTATCTTCATTTATTTCATCATATTTTCTCTTCTTATATGTTGACTATTTTTTTATAATTTACTTTTTATTAGATAAAATTTTGTAAATAGAACATTTTATATCTTCCTTAAATCTGATTACTTTGCTTACTTGCTGTATTTTTGCATCACTTTTATCATTGATCGTTTCCATTAACGTGATATTTTTGTATGAATGTATGAAGGAATGCAACATTCACGTTCACGTTATAATGCAAACGAGTAGACGATTTTGAACAATTTCGCCAATAATTTTGAGTAATTATCATAGTTGAAGGTATTTTTAAACTTTATAATTGTCGTAATTTTTAATGAATAATATAAGTATAAAAAAGTATCGCATGTATGAATAATACGAGTATAAAAAAAGTATCGCATATAACTTTAAATATTTATCGTATGAATAATACGATTATATAAAAGTATCGCATATAACTTTTGATCCAATAAAATTTTGTCGTAGTTTTAATGAGTAATATGAGTATAAAAAAAATATCGCATACAACTTTGAATATTTGTCATATGAATAATATGATCCAATAAAATTTTGTCATAGTTTTAATGAGTAATATGAGTATAAAAAAATATCTCATATAACTTTGAATATTTGTCGTATGAATAATGAGTATAAAAAATATCGCATATAACTTTTGATCCAATGATATCTCTTATGAATAATATGAATATAAGAAAAAAATAAAATTTCATATTTAATTTTAATATATGTAATACAAATTTATAAAAATAATTTTTTATTATTACATAAATTTAAAGTAATAGTAATCAAATTTTATTAATAAATTTCTTTTATTTGCACAGTACATCATTTTATACATTTATACATTTATACATAATTTATTGTAAATTCAAGCGTTAAACAACTAAGAAGTCAGTACAAATTTTAGATAATTCAAGAATAATTTTAAGAAACTTTTATATAGGTATGTATATAATAGTTTCTGACTCCCATAAAAAATAATACATTCTAGCTTCGACTTCCCGTGAAACCGACTTCCCGTAAAACCGACTTCCCGTAAAAATAATACATTCTAACTATTTCTGAAAAAAAATAATACATTTTTAATTATAGGTACCATCGGCTATGGCACGACTGCGATGCGAGATTAATAACGGCTTATGCCGTATGTCGTAATGCAATGTCGTCATTTTTTTTAAGGTTACAGCATTTTAAATAATTTCGACATATGATACTTATGATACTTGTAACGCCGATGCCATTTATTGTTGCCGTAATTCAAAAAAATCTAGACAGTACCTATTAAATTTAATCAGAGTTTTCATTTATTAAGTCATGTAAACTAGAGACTTGATTGGAGTCCGGATTGAAACTTTGACAATAAAATTTTATAGGCCTGGACCCGGATTTTATATGTTCCGGGTCGAACGCAAGGTAGCTCATGCAAATCTTTAAAGTAAATCAATTCGATACATATTAACATTAATTCAAAAGCATATTTAATATCACCTCAATTAAAACTAGCTTACAACCTCATCACCTATTACAAGTAATTATATCCTAAGGAAAGAAAGTAATAAAAGTAGTAAATCAGCCATTTTTTTTTTAAACAAAAGATCAACCTAACCTTAATTTCGGTAAGAATCACGTGAGAAATGATAATTTTAGCCCGGAAATTATGAAAATTTCGGAACAAAAATTATAAAATGACATCATCAAATAGATATTCACTTTCTCCTTTAATTGGATTTCCTATTTCCAATGTTAGAATTGGTCTTTGATGTCTACCTGTTACCATAAAAAAATTCGTAAAAAAAAAAGAGAAGCAATTATCTAATTATTAACTAATTAAATTTCAATATATATTTATAATTATTTATAATTAGTATTTTTTCTTTTTAGGTTTAAATGATATCATCTCATTAAAATTACTTTGTGAAAAATTGATCATCAAAAAAAAAAAAATATAAAAAAAAAAAATAACTTCTTTTTTTAAACCAAAAAAAAAAATCGAAATTTACATCATTTAACCAATCTTATAACAATATTTTAAAAACAATGTTTCAATATTTCAATATTTTTAAAATGATTTTCATTATTTAAATCATTATATCTAATTTTATGCATAAAATAAAAATGAATTTTGAGAGGTTCCTTATTTAAAATTACACAACATGAAAGAAATTTCCAATAATATGATTTTTGAAGATTTCCAATTCGCATAATAATATATATATTATATATATCGATCAAACCTAAAAATAAAAATAATAATAATAATAATAATAATAATAATTTTAAATTGTTTTATTATTAAATTTATTTATTTAACAATTGAAAAAATTATTATTATATTTATTACAATTACAATTGTTTGAAAAAATATGTATATCATAACTTTATAAGGAAAAAAAATAAAAATTCAAACCTTTATTAGGAAAAAAACTTTTAAAAAAAATTCAAAAACTTTATTAAATTTCCTTTATTACTAAAAAAATTAAAAAGAGTTTATTTGTGCATTATTTTGAAGGATTTTCAAGGTTTGATTTACTTTATTTTATGATTTACTTTTAGAAAAAAAATAAAAATTTTGATCGACCCTTAAAAAAAAAATTTTTTTGGCAGATGATTGATAACTTTCCACATGTATGGTAAATACAATTTTTAAAGTACAGTACATCATCATCATTAATGATCACAGAATGAAACGCATAAATTAACTACCGATCTAAACTTTGCTTAGTTTAGAAATTTATTTATGAATTCATATTTCACAGCCATAATGAAGTCACGAATTATATACAAGCCATAAATGATAAGAGCTTATCATTTTTCATAAAAGCCACATTAACATTGATGATTTGATGGCTTGTTATTTTGCTACGCAAAGAATGAAGCCTCGACTGAATAGGTATGAATTCCAATATTTATAAAAAAAAAATTTGATAACAAAAAAACTTGTTTAATTTACAAAAGAACGATATAAAACAAAAATTCCTTATTTATTTATAATTCGATCATTTTTATTATTATTTTTATTTAGATCATCTTCCAACAAAGGAAATTAATATAACAATAAAATAGTAATTTTTCGCGTTTTTCGTGTCAAAAAAAAAAACGCTTTTTTTTAAAAAAAAATGGCTTGGAAACTACGGAAAATTACTGGCTTGGATAAATCATTTTTGAACAAGTTTCTTAATAAAAAATGGCTCGGCGGGATAACTATTAAATAAACAATAAGCCGTTGAAAAAGGCGATATTGAAATAAAAAAAAACGTTTAAATCTTTTAATGTGCCTCGTTTAATCCATTTGCGTGGCGCAGTAAATTATTATCCCGTTTGAAAGAGTGGCTCTATAAAAAAAAAAACGTGTCGATTAAAAAAGTTTTATTATTACACTATTACTAGTATGGTATAAGATCATACTTGAATGAATTCAAGGCTTAATTTCATTAAATCTTGTTAACGAATTCATAAATAATTATGGGCAAGATTATAATACATATTACTAAGCCTTACTATCATATTCTCACGAGCCAAACCTTAAGCCTTCTCGATCTCACGAGCCATCTAAGCCTTTTTAATTATGTGAAATAAAAAATACATATATAATATAATATAATATAATGTAACTTAAATACTTTTAATTTGTGTAAGTAATAGTAAACAAGATATAATATGATCGAGATTCAATCGAAGAATTCGGAGCAATCATTTCAAACCAATAATAAAACAAACCGATTAATTAACAAAAGTTTTACATATTATAAGTAAGCAATCGTGGCTTGGAAAAAATGAACAAAAATTAAATTACATGAGTGGCTTAATAAATGATCGAGATAATAAATAACTCAAAAATGTATAAAATGTCTAAGCAGAAAAAAAAAAATAAAAATTTATTCTTGGTAAAATTAAATTTAACCAGAAATTAAATTCCAGAACTATCAAGTAAACGAAATTTTTTATTGGCTCAAAAAAATATGGCTTGTATATAATCGTTAGTGGCTTATTATTTATTTAATTCAAATTTATTCATGGCTTATGCCAAGCCAACAAATGAGATAAATTTGGAAATTGTTTTGAATGATATGATCGAGATCAATCGAAAAAGTGTGGATGAATAATAAAAAAGGTGAGTTAAAAAAAAAAACGAGTTAAAATCACTTAAATGGAATTTGGCTTAGGGAAAAGAAAAGCTCAGACACGTGTGGCTTCCATTTGGGTTATAATGGGGCGGCTTTTTTGAATAAAATGTGATATCTTTCTAGTTAAGTCACATTTCATGAATCATTTGACATCATTACCGTAATTCGTTAACCTATATAATAATAATTAACTTTATTAAGAATTGTATAATATATATAACGGATTAGAAGGGCCTATTACTAAAATGTAGATCAATTCGGGGGAAAGCAGGTTTCAAACTAAATTAGTATTAAATCACGGGTAAATCTTATCGATCATCATCAAATTAAATCTAATAACGGAGAAGTTTAAATGGTTTCGGGATTAATTTCTTGTAAACCAAAGGTAGTTTAGAAACTTTAAAAATTTATCTTTGATTCTTTTGATTGAAATTATTGAAATTGACTTTTTTGAGAGTACAAAAGAAATTCAAATTTAAACTAATGATAAAGAATAAAAGAATTGATCCCCACATTATAAACAATGTAAAAATGCAGACCAAAATCCAGGTAGATGGGAACTTTAACATAATAGGAAATTGACTAACAAAAATCGTTTCATAATTTCGAATTTATTCTCGCTTTGGTTAAAAAATCATGACGATAAAAAAAATTAATTGAAGATCTTTTTTTTAATATGATCATATAAAGTTAGTTATTATGTATGCGGCTTTCAGGCTACATTGGCTACATTGCGTGAGAAGAAAAAAAAAAAAAAAATTA